TTTTTTTTTTTTTTTCTTTTTCCTAGTTTCCTTTCGTTTTTGAACTCTTGTTGGAGCAAAAGCTAGAAATTTTTCATGGTGTAATCATCAAGACTTTGTCTTTGCATATGGTTTGTAAAAAAGAAAATGTCAATTTGTTGATATTGTTTTTTTAATGCAAAAGGTTGCTCCTTGCTGAATGAGTAATTGGATTCAAACACTGTGTGGGCATCCTTGATGTTGCGTGGAGCTGCTGTCGTTTTGTGATTGTTAGGATTGGGAAGCTGCTGTCGTTTTGTGATTGTTAGGATTGGGAAGCTTCCTCCAAGAAAACCAGAGGCACTTGCTTAAGGCACCTATTGGTGGTTTCTATTAGTTGGAGAGGTAAAAAATGACTTCCCATGGAACAAAGGATTTCAAATTATTTAAAGACTATGGGGGTGAGACTGATGCAAAAACCAGTCTTCCGAGCCAACTCGACGAGCCTCAAAGATCCCATATTGAATTTCTCCAAGATACTGACAAAGGAGCTCCAATGGCTCAACAAATGTTGTCAAAGAAGGCGGGTGATTCTTCATTGTCTGTGGAAAATGATGAGAAGAGCTGTATGAATCTTTATGACACTATATCGTATCAAAATGTTGAAGCTGAAGACAATCAGACAAGCAACTCGGATACCAATAATCTCAAAGATGGGAAGTACTTTTATTACGACACGCCCCTGTACGAGGAAACTGGGATCTGGATACCCGTTTCGATTCCCCCCATGACTGAAAACGAGCACCAAGAATGGACTCGAGGGTTTTGCTCAAACGGCGGGTACATTCCGGAAGAAGATATGGGCTGGAACCAATGCATCGGGAAAGATAAAGAGCTGACTATGTGGGACGTGGTTGTGGAGATGCTACTCGTGGCACGAGGGAAAGTGTCTTCTCTTGCATCTGGGGACATCGGGCAAGTTTCTTGGATATCAAGGCACCTAATAGAGCAGGCATGGAAGGAAATGGCTCAAACCCTAACCGAGGCCAATTTCAGTCACACCTTAGAGATTCTTGAATCCGAGCCTCCCAAGTGGCTGCCCGACAGCTCGGCTTCTTGCTGCATGCTCTGTAACGTGCGTTTTCATCCCATCATGTGCACGAGGCATCATTGTAGGTTTTGTGGAGGGATCTTTTGCGGCGAGTGTAGTAAAGGGAGGAGCCTTTTGCCTGGGAAGTTCCGTACGGGAGAGCCGGAGAGAGTGTGTGACGTGTGCTGCGTGCGGCTCGAGTCTGTGCAGCCGTACTTGATGGATCGGGTGAGTCGGGCTGCGCAACTTCCGACCCACGATCTGACTGATTTGAGCACTTTGAGGTCGTGGGTGAATTTCCCATGGGGGCAGTCGATGGAATATGAGATTTACAAGGCCACAAACACAATTCGTGGTTATTATGCTAAGGTATATCCCAACTCAAATCTAACTCAAATTTAACTCAGCTCCATTGAGTAAATACTCAATGTTATTAGTATAATTTAAAAATATCAATCAATCATCCTTGCAAATCACATCAACTTTAATTTACTATTCATCCACTCACATAATTTTAATTACCCATCACTTCATATCAGCTATATCCTACTTTTACAACAAATCAACTTTAATTATTTTATTTTAAATATTATTTTAATGCAAACTCAAATTCTCATTCAAACTTCACCCAACCTCTTTTTCAAAATTAACTTTGATTAACCAAAAAAAAAAAATCTTACAAACAAGCAAGCCCTAAAGATACAATTTTATAGGAGTCTCAAGCTCTAGATTCTCTATTTTGAATTGCGGTGATGGTGTGTGAGTTTAAAATGTGGCCTTTGTGCAACTTTTTTTAGCTAAAATTTGGTTCTTTACTCTATGAAAACCTCCGTTTTGAAATTTGATGCCAAGGGCTGGTTAGTATCACTTGCAGAGGGGAAAAAAAGGCCAAGAATCTTTCTGTAACATGTTATCCTTCTCCGACACAATATGGAGCTCACTTTTTTT